ATCCTAGTTCAACCTCTTTGGGAAAATACACAAAATATCTAACGCTCCTTTAGGTAATCGATTAGTCAGTTACACACATCATCAGTTGTCAAACAACCATCGTAATTACTGAATAATGTTTATAGTCAAGTAAAAATACATAAAATGGACGTCCATTTTGCGTGCTATCGTTGCAAAATTGTTACCTACGCTTATATTTTTTTTTTGTTTCACGGAGTGTCTAAAAAAATATGCTGGCGTTTGAATTAGGTAATTTAGTTGAAGTTTCATTGTGGTAACGATGAAATATGAAACATAATTGCGCAAGTTTTCAAATAAAACAAATAAGTAATGTTAATCTTCAATGAAGAAAATTCGCTTAATTTTGCTCTAAATTATAATAAATAGAAAAGGGTTGAAATTTTTGCACTTTATTCTTGTTATCGGATTGCACTAACATTCCGCCACCTGTTTATTTGTCTCACCGCCCATCCGACTTCAAGCTTCAAACTATGAATCGTCCTTAAGACCAATTCTTTTTTAGAATAAACATTAATTACTTATTTAGAATAAGATAACTTATCCAGCTGAAAAAAGTGAACTTCGGTTTAATGTTGATTAAAAAATGTCTGCCTCCTGTTTAGTCTTCTGATGGGTCTAAACGACTTTGCTAATCAAGGTATTAAGGAGTTCCTCTAGTTACCTACTATTGTAGCAAAAAAATGTCACAATAACTTTTTCAAAATTTCTATGTACCTATTCCAACATTATCCGTAATTGCCGGAATCGTGTCTGAAAATAGATGCTTGCGGTTAAAAGTCGACAAGGGGATCTATTTACGTTGTTTCTATGGGGACTGGGGACCAGGGAGTGGTTTGGTGACGTCATCGTGACCTCGCCAGCTTAGGGTGCGCCGCCACCCTTCAGTGAGAATCCCAACCATCCCGCATTTCACGTATGTTGAGCTCGAATGCTATTTAATTTATTGTATTACAAAAATATCACGCGATCAAATGCGTTACTAAAATTACCTTAATCGACCCAGGTCGTTGTTTTATTTAAAAAAATGGTCTGTTTGTTAAAAGTGAATAATTACTCAGTTGTATTAATAACTTTATATATTATTTCTAGCTTGAAATGTTTTTTTTTTATGTAATAGGTCGGCAAACGGGCAGACGGATTACCTGATGGTAAGCAATCAGCGCCGCCCATGGACACCCGCAACGGAGGAGTTACGAGTGCGTTGCCGACCTTTAAGGGATTAGGGATTTGGATATTTAGGAACTGGGGAGGGATTGGGAAGGGGAAGGATTGGGCCTCCGGTAACCTCACTCACACGGCGAAACACAACACTGTGGTTGTTTCACGCCGGTTTTCTGTGAGGCCGTGGTATCACCCTGGTCAAGCCGACCCATTCGTGCCGAAGCATGGCTCTCCCACACTTAAATGTTTATTCATTATACTAAAATGTCTTTTCATTTTGTGAAATGTCTTCAACAATATCGTCTTCAACGTTATCGCTAGTTATCTGTACACTCTTAAACGCTATCATTTACATATTTCAGTGCCTTTGTTCTTTACAATGTGCAAATAAATATAAAGATTAACACTTCAGAAATTACTGGGTTTTACATCAATTAGGTAGTTTTGTCTGTACGTCTGTGACGTGTGTATATTGTATGTGCAATATGTTATTTGATGAGCTGATATTGTCATACATATGTTATTTGCTAAAGATATGTTTGAATGTATGTATGTATCTGTTATAGAGCTTACGGTAATAAACTTAATGGCACTAAATATTAGATGATGGTCGTTTCCATCAAATTGCCTTTCGTTGTTATGCATACACCAATTTGGGTCAGTAAAAGAACAGTCTATTGTTCTTATTTAGGGTAATAACCAACCGCCTTAGAGCTATCCCTTGAAGATTATACCTGCTTGCTTAGTGAGGTCACGGCCTAATAATACTAATTACATTTATAAAGAAATTAGCAAGTCTAGATTCTCTAAGTCTTTTAGTTATTAAAGAAACGTTGCTCCACTCTATGATTTTCTCCTGTGTCGTGGGTGCATTTACCATACAAATTCGCACACACAAGTCACCCAGTCCAGTTGGGTCGGCCAATAATTTGTGGATCATACAAAGTCTTGCTTCGTGTGGGAATCGAACCTGCGACAAGTTGCACATCAGTTAGTTGCTCAGCCACTGCGCCAACTTATTTGTAATTGCCAAGGTCTAGTTTAAAAGGTCGAATGAACACGTAAAAAATCTATTACAGTCAACAAATATCTGCTATGGAATATCAAATTGACTAGCAAAATCATTTACCCATTCAAAAACATTACATATGCCGTTAGCTTTAGAACATAAAATAGATCTAACCTAAATGAAGTGTCAAGGGAGCCTAACAGGTGGTGTGTTCTGGTGAACGTGCCCATCTCTGAAAATTGTTGTTTGAAAGCTTTACCTCGTAAAAGATAAAATATATGTTCCCAGAGCTGTTTATTCTGCCGTTGGGGATTTTGTGGAAAAATCCTATCTGTGTTGTGCTGTAACGAAGTTTTCCGAATAAATTTTGAATACTGCACTTATCTTGCGAAATGATTTGTTATAGATGATGTATTACGACTATAAAACTTTATTTTAAGTACTGTCTTTCAAAGATGTAGTTAATGTTTTCATTTTTCATTCATTCATTCAATTCAATTCAAATCTGTATCATATATTCATGATCAAGTGTGGGAGAGCCAAGCTTCGGCACGAATGGGTCGGCTCGACCGGAGTGATACCACGGCCTCACAGAATACCGGCGTGAAACAACCCACAGCGTTGTGTTTCGCCGTGTGGGTGAGGTTACCGGAGGCCCAATCCCTCCCCTTCCCCTTATATCCGCAACCCCCATCCCCAAAAGGCTGGCAACGCATTCGTAACTCCTTTGGTGATGCGGGTGTCTGTGGACGGCGCCGATTGTTTGGGGGATTTATGCATTGGAGAGTGATAGCCTCTGCTTTGAAAGTATATGATTTTATGATGTCCTGAATATTGATAATAATAGAAATGGTTCTTCTTCTTCTTAATATATGAGAAGGCAAATTCCAATATTGATATACTTCCTCCATTAGCACGTAACTGTTTATATGATGGTATTTTGGGCTCATGTGTATTAAACAGGAACTTCATAGTATTTATATCTTACTGACTTCAGTGCGGTTGCCTTACTCAGTAGTTAGACCAATAAAATTGTGCGAATAAAAAAATCTACTTTATTTTTGATTGGGGATTATGTGTTTTAATACTATACACATAAAATTATAATCTTGTTGTCTATAGTTTTATATATCTAGTGACATTGGTCGCATGCAGTATGATATCCAAAAGTCTGGTCATAGTTGACCTTCACGCATGATTTCGTGATGTGAGCATTCTGTTCTGTGTTTAGCCGCTCTGCTGGGCACAGTGATTACTGTGCCTGATATCATATATAGATAAATAGATAGTTTGCATGGCCACACTGATACAAAATGCCAAAATAATAACGTCGTCCTCTCATGTGTAAAATTTCAAAATGTTTGGTAAACTAGTGAAGAAATGCAAGAGATCTCTCTGCTGTACTGCCTGCCCTGTATGTCTTATTGTGCTTGAAGTTAGGTTAGTCATAATCCTCAATAATTTAGATAAGGTTTAAAAAAACATACTAGAGTTCAGCTCAATGTAACCATTGTTCTGTGTTAACATTTCCGTTGAATTTTGTTAACTTAGGACCTTATTTGGTTTGGACATGTTCCAAATGAATGCCAGTAATGTCGGAACAAACGCAAAGTTAACTTGGTCGACAGCAATCAATTGGTTCCGTAATAAAATTGACACCAGGTGGTATGGGTACGACACGTAGCTTTCCGCGCGCCCCTGAAAGAGCCAATAGATCACCGCAGATGGAGCTCAATAAGGCAGATGTTCGGCCGGGGTTGTGGGTCAAGCGTAATGAGATACCGCGGCCTCGGCCTAGAGGAGGAGATGGAACGGGGTGGTTTTTAGTCAGTAAGAGTGACACTCCCTCTGGCCTTAACCTGTCATTTGATGATTTTCCCATCACAAAACAAGGTGAGATGGGGTTTCTATATATGACTGTCTATATTAAATTAGACTACCTGGAAACTCCTAGATGTCATGCTTCAGAAGACAAAAATAAAACTTTAGGAGACTTGTATATAAAGCACAACAAAAAGAAGTAAATATTAATACAATTATCCTCACAAAACACTTTCTTTATTAGCCAAGATAATAGCATTCGAGTGAATACTTTTCCTGTTTCGTGAGTGCCCTTGGGCTTGACAGCTGGACGTAGTAACTAATAATTATGCGAGGCAAGCCATCACGTGGATCGCGCAATCAACGAAATTTCATTTAGTAACGTGTCCTCATGTCTTTCTGTATGTAGGTCGGTGCTACGTGGAATAATATTATCTAGAGACAATATACCCTACTTAAATGAGCGTGGTTTTGTATTTGGAGCGCCCGTTACAGAAGTTTTATTTTGTCTTTAACTCTGTTAGCAATTCTGTAATCATTAAACCAAGCGTAAGGACTATGTGAGTCCTGTTTTATTTAACAGAGAAAACACACACTGAGTTGCAGTATATTTGCAATGTCTAGACCAATCTCTCTTTCATTATAACTAGATGTACTAATGCATACATTAGTCTCAAATAACTTTGTGTAATTACAAAATTAATTAGCAACTGGAATGGAATTGGACAGCTCATAATGTTGGTGCTAGTGTGTATAGAGAATTAGTAACACGTGTATGCAGCTGATTTTTCTCTTGATAAAATACTGTTTAGGTTGAACGAAAAATATACGAATTCTTATGCAGCTTGAATTGGTGACATGTTGGGATAAGAACATGCTGCATACAGCAAACTTTTGTTTTATTGTTCTCAATCAGGATCGAAATTATACAAATTAAAGTTCTGTTGTGTTGAATTTTTCCTGACCAATCTCTCTATTTTGTTCACAGGAGGGTCCTCACTCCACGTTGCCAGACGACGAGTTCTACGATGCAGTGGAGACAGGGTTCGACAAGATGGAGGAGGAGCGGTGTGCACGTGTGGTGCCACCTAGCGTCCACACGCGGGACCAGGTCGAGTTGCCTCCGCCAGCCATTGACAACAGACTTACCGTACATCCTTTGTGGCCAGAGGTGAGTTGAAGTAGAATGTAATTTGACAGATCACAAACAAGATCCTGATAGAGAAGTAAAAGCAAGTAACTACATGGTTTCTGACATCTATCGGTCGTGAGACACGTTCGGAATAAAATCTCACCTATGGTTTTTGAGCCGATTTCAGTGCTCGTTTTCTAGCCTTTTACACTTCATTTGTGTTGACATACATAAATAGCTAGATGCCTAGTGTACCTTGTTTCCGTTTTCAAATTACTTATTTAAAAGATATTAAAATTGAATTTATAATGTTGATGTGTAAATGAAGCATTGTACAAAACTCCTTGCTAAACACATTCTAATTTAGATGACTATTCGTGATTCAATTTGGTTATTCCGATTAGTAATAATATTATTCCTTTAAAATCCAACTGACTGACGTTCCAATAAGTCTTTATAAACACAAGTGTTTCTACTAAATACAGACTCATCTATGTACTTAGTTTCCCTTCCAATCGTTGAAAGTCATCGGATTACCTAGAGGATTACATGGACCGTTTCGGGATTATTGTAGTCGGATTATCAAGCCTTTTCAAGTCTGTTCCATTTAGCTGATGCCCCAAAAACTTAATGCCAACTCAAAGACTGGAGGTCAGATGTTTATGATGAAAATACCGCGGTATTCAAATACTAGGTTAATGGTCTGATAGGGGGAAACAGTCCGGTTATCTTTTCTAATGATATAACAGGTTTGGGGTGTTAACGTGTAGCTATTGTTATTTATTAATGTGTTTGGTTAATGATTTGATTTCAAGAGGCCCTGAGTGAATTTTCTGTTACCTTAGAAATCTAATTAGGTAGAAATTCCGTGAAGGCACCAAAAGAAGGATTTTAATAATTATGAGTATTTGTTTATCATCCATATGTTTTAATGTTATCATGTACCCACCCATATCCATAACCTTACTATTTTCTTCCATAAGCACAATAGTTTTACATCAACCGGGAATTGTAATTGGGTGTCATTTCACTGTTCCTACTACTACGTGTTCCCGGCTGATGTGCCATAAAGTTTTAATAAAATGTTCAACGGGCCTATGCAAGTTGGCCTCCCATACGCCTTCCAAAGGCCCGCGATGCTATGGTTCCGTCAAACAAAATAAATTATTTGAAAGTCTTTTGTGACCAAAACAGACTTTAATTTGGTAAAATCTTAAAATTAAACAAGACTATTATTTTGTGATTTCCAGATCGACAGGATATCAACGGAACAGATTCAAGCCGCGTTTGAAGGTGTGGGTGGTGAGATAGGATGGCAGTTGTTCGCTGAGGAGGGCGACATGAGGATGTACAGGAGGTACGTGGAAACCGATAGTCAGAGTGGGTATGTGGACACGATTCTTGTACCGCTTTGCTTAGGACTTAGGCACACGATGTCCAATGATTGAATAATAACAATAAACAAAACGATAAGGAAATGTTATATGAGGCTCAAAACAGAATTAGAGTTATATATTTTGCATTGTGTATGCTATTTATGGGAAATAAAAGGTTATCCAATAGAAATGCTTTTTACATAAGCTTTGGTAAAACAAATAAATCCTCAAAAAAAGTCCTTATGTGTGCATTTGTTAATCTAGCGGACTTATCGGCCTTGAATGATTGGTTGAAGTCAAAACTGAACTATTTATCTTAATAAAAAAAATATTTTTATTTCTATTTCATCAAATTATCGTCGTGTGCCTAAGTCCTTATTTACAACATACTGACACTTAAATAGACCGTTACTTGTAAATTTTGTATAGTATTGTTATGCTTTCATGTTAGTTTTTTTTTTGCGTAGAAAGATGTAGAAATGTAGCTTTAAATAATTTGTGTTGCTCTATTTATAGCCAGCTTTTTCACGCTATCAAAGGGTACTTTATCCCTCTACTTTTCTAATATTTTCTTTGATAAGAACCTTCTCCTGACAATAACAAAAAGAATTAGCAAAATTGGTCTAGGCGTTGTTGAGTTATGCGCTTACCAACACATTTGGCGATCCATTTTTATATATATAGATTATAATATAGTCTAGTAAATAACCTTATTAAAACTGAGCAGAATTATAATAAGGTTATTGAATGAAAGTGGAGGTGGGATAGTAAGCAATGTGGCCCCGCAGGCGGACGCCCGCAATACCAACAGAAAGTGCGTTGCCGCCCGTTAGGGATTAAATTCGTGATTAGTGAGGTCGGGGAATTGTTAAACACACTACATTACATTTAATTGGAAAATCAAATTAGTTCAGTTTAGTATTGTGTGCGCATATAAGGTTTTTGTGAATCATTTCAACATCGATATTATATATATTATACATAGTGCATGGTAGATTGCGATGCGTTCGAGTATTCCAGGGTTTACAATGTTTTTCCTTCCAGGGAGATGGAGGTGGACGGTATGGTGACAGACCCGCTGAAGGCGATGCACAAAGTACGCGGCGTCACTGCCCGCGAGATGTGCCACTACTTCTTCAACCCACGTTACCGATATGAGTGGGAGAGTGAGTGCCAAAGCCATTTTTTCAATATCTTTTCATATAAATAAAATGAAATGACGATATATGTTTTGAAGAAGATGTATGTAGAAGTATGCAAGATTTTTTTTAATTGTCCGTACTTTCTTGATGTGTGAAGTTAGGGCTGAAAGGTCGGGTATACTAAATATAAAAAAGCACACAATATATAAGAAATTATTGTTAAGACAGGACATCATACGTTTTAACGTAACACTCAATTCGAATAGTATGCAAGATTTTTTTAATTGTCCCAACGTTTTTGGTGTTAGAAGTTGAGGTGGGTAGTTAGGCATACTAAATATGAAATGTTTGTTAAAACAGGACATCATACGTTTTAATGTAAGACTCAATGTTCTCTAGTTATGTAATATGGCTTATTAATTAATTATTATTTCTAAATACAGTAAATAATAAGCGTAAATATTCATTCACGAACGCATCTTTCCAGCGACTCTGGAGACGATGACAATAGTGGAGGAGATAGCGTCAGACTCGCTGGTGTTCCACCAGACCTTCAAGCGGATCTGGCCCGCCTCGCAGCGAGACGCACTGTTCTGGTCACACGTTAGGCAGTCCAGCGAGAACACATACGCTGTCACCAACCATTCCACCACCAATGCTGATTATCCGGTTAGTGTAACTATTTTATTTACTTATTTATATATATACTTTCTTACACACACACACACATATATACTAAGTAGAAATACGTTAGATACAATAAAATAATGTTGTGATTACAATGGTCTTATCACATAAGGCGATTTCTTCCAGACAACCTTTGCTTGGAAATGTATAATAGAAATTCAGGCATAGGTAGTGTTAATAAAATATTACACAATGAAAATAATTTTATAAGTATTATGTGTATAATAACATACTAGTCGCCCGCCCCTGCTTCGCACGGGTGTCGACCCTCGCTGTTAGTCATTTGTTTTACTAGCAAACCGCTACGATACCGATAGAGTAACTATTTCTCGGTACTTTTCTAAAATGTTATGTTATAATGAAATTATTTAAGTCTTTCTAGCCGTAAACGCGAGACGCCATTGCCAAGGGAAATTGGGATTCATTTTAACATATATTATTCTTTTCAAAAATATTTACTAATTTTCAGTGCAGTTTAGAGCATGGGATAAAAATTATTATCAATAAATCTTCAAACGACTGCAAAAATGTATTTCAGTAACAAAAAAAGAGTACAACAGAACATTTTTTTATTGTTATTTCAGGCTAACAACGGCGCCTGTATCCGCTTGTTCGTGACAGTGTGCCTGGCGTGCCACACCACGTACCCGGCCGGGGAGCAACCCACCCGCGACAATATCACCACCAGCATCGCTTACTGCAGCACAGGTACCTACTATTTAATCAGTTTATCGCCTAAGAAACACAGTTGCAATGTTTTGCTAGTATAATTTGACCTTTATGCTTTAGGCTATAAGAGATTTAATAATTTCGCAAAAACCTCACTGTTGTGGTATACAATCTCGATGATCTTTGCTGTCAGTTTAACGATAATCAATATATTATATACCTACGGCCGAATTGAGAAACCTGCTCCTTTCGGAAGTTGGTTAAATATTTCCTTTTATGTGTATATCCTTATGTTTTAGATTTCACTAATATATATGTTGTAATTTTCCAGTAAACCCAGGTGGTTGGGCACCGGCCGGCGTCCTCCGCGCAGTGTATAAGCGAGAGTATCCAAAATTCTTGAAGCGGTTCACCAACTACGTTGTAGAGCAGTGCCGCGACAAACCCATCGCCATCTAGCGGCGTCCCCACGCAACACGTCGCAGCAGGTGACCGATCGATATACAACATGTACCCGCACTACTAAGCGTACCTTCGATATAATATTTATACTTCTCAGACATACGCCTGATTCTTTATATCTGCAAGTCAGGGATACGTCAACTGAGAACTATTTAATGCGAAGTGTAGTGCTATTAGACGTTAAATAGGTGTTATATAATATTAAAGGTTTTATTCAGGGTGGAGTTTGGATTCCCGTTAAATACTTTCTTCGCGATGTCGGTGCGTCCCGGTATGATTATCACACAAAACTTTTATAACACCATGAAACCAGACTCGGATAATGCAGTTCGAAATAGATTCTTTTTTACTGAGACGAGAGAGATAACGCTATACGTCAGCTGTGCGTTAGACAGAGAGCAAACGTCGTGTCCGCCTGTACTTGTGTGTAAAAAGAAATTGAAATACAATCGTGCTGTATAAGTTGTCGTCGCTAAACTTGTGTATGATCAAAATATTATTATCGGTGTTCAAATAAATGTTTAATTTATCAACGTTATTACTGTCTATATTATTACGTAGGACACTTATAATCGACAATAATTCAATGTCGAATGTACAGTTCTAATTTCAAAATTGTAAATTGTACTTTAATGAGTAATTTAAATTTAGAACACGTTGTATAATATATGTACCTACTATGTCGTCGGGTGTTATATTATTAAATAAATTATACAAAATAATTCAACGTAAATGTATTCGTCATTAATGAGTATATAAATATTATTTCAAAACGATCTTGTGGGGGATATTTGTAAAGCACTTTTGACTGCTATTAGTTCGTTTATTTCTCTTCGATTTTTAAATAACACGGTATTGGTAAGGCTGTACACTTAAATGTAGCTGAGTATTGAAGCTTTTATTGTGGAAATATATGAGAGAAATTACTTCGACTGTATATTTATAGTGTACTGCATTAATTAAAATAGGCTTGAATTATTAGAACTGAAACTAAGGGTGTAAAACTCAAGCTTAGTTTTTTTATTACCGACTGCTGTTAAAATTGTCTTTGTAAATACAAATGCGTCGGGTGTGTACTGTGGTTAAAATAACTCTTCAATTCAGGAATCTCTAAAGCAAAATTTCATTTTAATGCGCGTACAAGTACCTGACGCAGAGCCACGCCGAAATAAACCTTATGGCTGAACAATGTTATACTAATTATTGAAAAGATTTTATAGCAAGCATGTTTTTGTGTACGAAAGAAATGTTTAGTACTTATCTTTTATAGAAGGACTGGAATGTTTCTGATGATGAGGGTAAATATTCAAGGATGGTGATAGTCTGATGTGTTCAGTTAGATAGTTCGCGAAAGAAAACACGTACTTTTGCACTTTCTGGGCTGTGAACTAGGGAAAACGAATAGAATACTTTAAAATCCACAGTTATTAAGGTGCCAAGTCCTTTGAACGCGTCTTTGTTCCGTTTTCTCGAGATCACGGCCCCAAATCCATTTCATGTACAGGGTGGAACTAATTAATTAGTAGTTCTTAATATATCAATTACGTTATCTCAGTTTTTGACCAAATAAATTAATATTCATTTCGCTTATTGATAATGTGACGGAATTTTATTTTAATCTTTCATTAATTTCCCGGTGTTGACATTTTAAAATTGGTAATTTATGATTATTTTTTGTAGATGTAACTGTATTGTTTGTTTGGTCAAAACTTTTGTTTGTGCACATAAACGAATTACCTACGACGGTATGGCTCGCGTCGTACCGTCCGTTATTTTAATTACTCGTATTCAGACTTCCATTCCAACTTTGTATCGAATATCTCATTTTGTATACATTTTAAATTAGTTTTAAATAATGGTTACTTGGATGAACTTCAAATATATAGTAATAATGTACAGAATTTCACGTTTTTGTCTCAAAGTTTATATATAATTTGCTGTTATGTGATGTTAACTGCTAACTTTTTTGTTCGACGTAGTAAAAAAGTTCACAGTGACCTCACGTCACTTGGTAAAAGTTAAACGTGGGAAGTGTAAGGGAATTGCATTTATAATACCGCAATGTTGCAATTGTATTAAGTTATATGAAATATGTTTTTTTTAATAATTATTGTTTATAATAAAATGTTTTATGGACATTTTGATTTTTCATTTAATTTTTTATAATCAACCCTGTTTCTAAAAATCCTTATTCCAACACCCACCCGGTTGCACAGGTCGTGGTCAAAAGCAGACCTGTGCAACCGGGTCGAAACGTCAAGCCTACCAAGTAAATATACGTTGTTAATATGAAAAGCGATTAAAAGTATAACAGGCGATAAACTTATTTATTTATTTAGTGAATCATACAATTTATATATTGGCAAAGTAAGAAGTGCGTTCAAAGCTAAATGGTTAGAAATAAATTTATCACTGCCTCGACCCCGGTACAAATACGTTGTATGTATTTTTGTATCACATCTATAGTCAAGCCGCTTGTAATGGAACTCTAATACCATAAAGGCCTTACTTTCATCTTTTACCTTTTACACTATTAGTGCAGAAAAACTAATAAGTGTTCCTTTTTTACCCATCATACTGATGGAGGGTCAGATTCTTACTTACTAAATACTAACCCACTCCTACTCTGGGCCAGGGCCCCGGTACATTATTGCTCTTGCACGCAGAAACCGCACCTGTCTAGTACCCCGGGTGGATATCAGCCTTATTAGGATCCACCAGTTGTGGTATATTGGCTCATTGAATGCGCGTGAAACGTTTTGCGCAGTGCACTCGGTCTCTGGCTCTGGCCGGGCTAGCAAGAGTAACTCGCCACCCATGTGAGTGTCTCCTTTTTTTTGTTAGGGGAAAATCATCAAATCGCTTCTTCCGGGCGGGAGTGTCAGGCTCTTACTTACTAAAAACCCCCCTGTCCCTTCTCCTGCTCTGGGCCGAGGCCGCGATGCCTCATTGCGCTTACTCTGCAACCCCGGCTGTGAGTGTCTCCCGCGGCGGCTGAGGCGTGAGGTGGATAGATACGCCTAATCTATATTATTACTAGCAGATCCAGCCACGCGTTGCTGTGGCTAAGGTTCTTGTCATATTACATATGGACAAATAATTTGCAATAAAATAATATTGTGACTATAAGTTGAGATGATAAGCTATTCTATTTTTCAAGTTGGATCAAAATGCACACGGAATGCAAATCAAATTTTTAACGGTTTAGTAGTTTAGGAGTCTCGCGGATAGACACGTGACACGAATTTTTATATATAAAGATAAGATTGTATTTTTCATGGAGAGGTAATGGTACGCAAAGGAATCAGGTGGGAAATAAAAAGTTCATATTTATCACTTCGTTTGTGAAGTGTTTTGAATCTTTATTCATTTTACATTAACATTAATTAATTGGTACTTACACAAGTTATGCATAGCACACGTCTCCGCATATAAAATTCACAACAATGTAATTTTATCAATTCTCCACATTTAAATATGGGGGTCCAGCCCCCGTTATCTTAATAGATATAATTCCTCAAACATTACCAACTTACAATAAACTCAATATAAATAGAAATCAGTTGGATTAGGTCTTGATTTGTCTACATTAACACAAACATGTAAAAGACTAATTGAACCCTGGGACAGGACGAAATCATTTTCACCGAAGGACAATCCCAAATCAAGATTAGACAATCATTAAAATCTAATTAAATTGAGCTAACTATAACGAAAAAAATTAACTAATTTGATCATTAGAATTTGTTAGTAGGCGTTATTAACGTTTTGGTAGGTTCAAATAAATAATATGAGATTGAACATCGCGACCTATTCAATACAGTACAACGTCGGAGTAGCAAATCGTACTACGTAATATATTGTATACAGTTGACGAATATTGTTAGAGGTATTGTAAAACATTAACATTAGACCGCTTTGTATTGACATTGAGCACGAGGAAGCGTATTTATGATCTCAATACTACTGTAGTATCCACTATAGTACAACTCTTAAATACCAGCGTCACATAGACGAATGCATCATTCAATAATCGCTATTACATATAATATATGTTAGACCTTATTCGAATACAATAAATTATTTTATTAAAGAAATATTCAAGTGTTCTAATATATCTAACTATTAATAAATAACATTAACATTTATAATTGTTAAGTATAAAATGTTATAAAATATTCCCCAGGAATGAAACGAAAGAATCTAGGTAGATTTATTGTTCAACAGTTGTTTTCTTTTATATCAAATTTCATTCAATAAATTTGGAATTTTGATATGATTGAGGCCGAAAGTGCGCACTACAAAAAGTTTTTTTATATAAAAATAGGAATTCTTTGAAAGCTCAAGTGTATAAATGGACCAATTGTTCAATAGTACCTATAACAATATTAGAAGTAGAGAAATACTTATAAAGTTTGGTGCGATTCCGTCGTGAGGGCATTAAGATGAAGGCTTCAGATTTATATAGAACCATAGCTCCTATAAGATTATAAGATAAAATTCTTAAGAAACATTTGCCCTCACTCGATACGCATCATATTCTACCAGTAACTAAATGTAAAGATGGCGTGAAGAGGTACTGTCATGGGATGCAGTGAGAAATGATAGTAACACCGCTAACGAATGAAATATGGCCAATCAATTATATGGCACTTATATCACGGACATTGTAAAACATTATAACATTACACAATATGTAACTAAGATACCTACCCGTGTATATGGCAACTTGAATACAACATTTGTGGATTATGCCGATTGTCCAGTGAATCCACAGACGACGTAACAACAGACATTATAGAGAAGCACAACGTTACGTTACATAATTTTTATTTCTTTTTCTATTAATGTCATAAAATGCTTTTATTTATTAGTAGACCATTACACGCCTTTACGAGGGCTCCGGACTCCGCGTATTCGATACGACAGAAGTTCAGAAATGTTAAAGGGCAATGTTCAGCACATCACTAGTAAACATTCTATCACACGAGTTAAAACATTTAAGTACACACAAAGCCAGGTAACGTCATGCCATCTGTGGACAGTTAATGAAATCAAATGATACATGGATGCAGTAAATATTTGCATTCAATATTACCTAATAAATACGACTACTTAAAAAAGTAGATATCAACAATTATAATTTAAGTGATATCCACTCTAACACGGATATATTATAAGTATAAAATAAGCGTATTATCGGACTCATCCGTCAGGCAAGCTTGCCTATGATCCGTTTCAGACTTATAACGTTGACATCCATACTCGGTCCACTCGTGCGCAGCCGTGACAGACAGACAGACGATCCTGCACGGGGGGGACGGCGCGCGGCTCGCTGGGGTCATCCGACCCGGCTGGGGCTCTACTCCTCGGCGGTGGCGGTGGTACTGCTGGCGCTGGTGGCCGAGGGGGCGGCCGAGGGGGCGGCCGGCGCCGGCAGCGACAGGTGACGCTGGGCGCGCCGCACGTCCGCCAGCGTCGTCACGCCGGCGTCATCCAGCTCGTGCCAGCGCGCGTGGTTCTGTCGAGCGTGGTTCACCAATTCTGGCATATCGATGAAACCTGGAATGTTAAAAATATTGTGAATTAATACTATGGCGTCTGACCTGACATTATTCACAAATAAATACTGAGAAATCTAAGGATGTATAGATTTTCTGTTAACTTTCACTAGATGGCGGTACTGTCGAAAACGGTCAAGTTCACAGATTAGTTGTTAGTTTAGGTTTAGAAAAAAAGTCTTGCAAGGCAAATATTAAAGTACCACATACCAGCCCAGGCCTCCATCATGTCCATGATGATGTAGTCAATAAAACCGATCTGCGATCGCGGGATGGAGCAGGTGGCGCGGTCGAACATGGGCATCACGACCGGCAGGTCCTTCGCCTTCTCCTCATCGGTTTGAAGGAAGTATTCTTCCGCGATCCTGGAACATGATGGAATGGATTTAGAATTTACTGATAGTTTTAGAAGACAATGTATTGTATGTATAACAGATAACAGGATTGATTTATGACTTTACTGATTTTTTTATTATTTAATCTATAATGTGTATTTGAGCTGGTAGCAAAAATAGTCTAAGCAAATAATTATTTCATCCACAAACTATGTCACATTTAAGACCAAGCCCAAGACTTCATCGGCGTCAGAGTTTGCCCTAGTTTCAATATAAAACAATATTTAGCTGAAGTTTCTCAAATCAATTTGTAAAAAGCATTACATAGTTCTTGAAATCAAATTTGATGCCTTACCTTCTAGCCCATTCGAATGCGAATTTCTGTGGGCGCGACGCGTTGGACACGTCTGCGCATTTGATCATCATCCTCTTCACAAGCACCACGTTCTCAGGTAATGATAGCGCTGTGGTATCCAAAGCCAGTGGCTCTTGCTGGAATGAAAATATCATTCGATTTAGGATCTTATTATTAGTAGTATCACTTGTTTTTTTATTAATTATGGACTGGCGTTTGGTGGTAAGCAAAACCTATGATGGAGCAAGCCTAGCTCTAAACAACGTTTTCACTCGGGCCTTGATGTAACCTAGGTTATATCATTACCCTTCAGGGAACAGGCTCTGGCAAATAACTAGGTAATAAGATTATAATAATTATTATGTAGGTACTACAATTACCGGATCCGTATTGTTTCTAATATATTGTATAACATACGGAATGCTAACAAAGCATTGAGTATAATTCCTTTTTGTCTCAGGTGTGAATGTTATTATTGTGACGGAAAAGTGGTTCAAACTCTTTGACATCATGACGTCAATGGATGGTTGTCAAACGTTGCCTAGAGATTGTAAATTTCGTCGTGAATTGTCAACACGAGTTGGTGTAATCGGTAAGGCATGTGGATTACACCACAGAGACCCCGAGTTCGAGTCCCGCCGTAAACATGAAGTTTTTAGTTGATAGAAGTTTTGTCGAACTTTCTGGAATTATTTGTGTGAAAGAGATGAAAAATTAAAGAGCGAGAAGGAGAATAAATAAAAATGAATAACGAAATTATTGGAAGGTTCTGGAGGCATGACGATCAAAAAGAATAACGAAATTGAATGTTCCAGAACCTGACCGGGGGTATATAAGCGGAACTGCGGCCCACCGCTGGCAGTTGAGTTCTAAGTCCAAAGCGATTCGGAAGAAAAGGAAGAAGTGAAAAAGAAGAAAAGTGAGTGAAATAGTGCAGTGCAGGGAAATAGTGAAGTGCAGTGAGTTAAGTGAAAGTCAGCGTGAACAGTGAGCGGCAAACGGAAGTTTGTGTCAGTCGCCCGGACTCTGCTGGAGAGGAACGCCGATAACTTTACTCCGAGGGCGCTGTCATCTAAGTGCAATAGAAAGTCTAAAACCGGTATTAGTGTTTTATTTCATCCAATCCCGTAACCCAAGCCCGCATAGTCAGGAACGTGACGTCAGGCTTGTAACATTTGGTGTCAGAAGTGGGATTGGAGAAAAATGCCGCTAGTGCCGCAGGACGTAAGAGGAGTGAGTACCCGTGCAATGTCACAAGCGCAGCGAGTGAGGGAAGATGGTGCTGCAGCTCAAACCAGCGATGCAGAAGCCAAGCCTGTGCAGGTGGATCTTCTGCTACAGCTGCAGCAAATGATGGTAGAGCAAGCGCGCCGCCAAGAAGAACAACTACGGGAGCTGAAAGAAGATCAAGCTCGTCGCCAAGAGGAGCAAGCTCGTCGCCAAGAGGAGCAAGCACGCTGTCAGGCAGAACAGCTACGGGAGCAAGCACGCTGTCAGGCAGAACAGCTTCGGGAGCAAGCACGCTGTCAGGCGGAGCAGCTACGGGAGCTGAAAGAAGATCAAGCTCGTCGCCAAGAGGAGCAAGCGCGTCGCTTGGAAGACATGCATAAAGATTTCACGAAGGGACTGCAAAAGGCTGTCGAACGGGTACAAGAAGTGGAGGAAGGGTTAGGCAAGTTGGAACATCGCGTCATGGCGATAGAGGAGAGAGTGGAAGAAGAGATCGCCAAAATCAAGCAGGAAGTGACAAGCCCAAGCCCTTTGAAGAGCCGAAGCCGTCTTGCAGCCGTTTTTGACGCCCCACATGTGGCCTCAAGCACAACGAAAGGGCTCAAGATTCCCCATTACGACGGAACAACATCCTGGACCGCGTTCAAGCTACAGTTTGAGACACTTATGGAGGCTTATGGTTGGACTCAGAAGGAAGCACAGTCAGCTCTCACCCTGGCCCTCCGTGATCAAGCGCTCTCAGTGCTGGAAGCTATCGGCGCAAGTGGGGATCTCAGCTTTAGTGCCCTCCTCGACGCACTTGAGGCACGTTTTGGAGACAGCCACCTCGAACACGTGTACAGAGCGCAATTAAAAGAGCGTACTCAGCGTGCTAATGAGAGTCTACAGCAATGGTCCGTGGAAATCGAAAAACTTGTGCGTCGAGCTTTCCGGTCGACTCCGTCAATGATTGAAGGCACGCTTCTCCAAGCATTCATTGACGGTGTTCGGGACCCCGAAGTACGAGCTGCTGTTCATCTGGGCCATCACAAGAACATGAAAGAAGCTCTGGCCCATGCATTGGAAGTGGAAGCCGTGCGTGGTAACTCCCGTACCTTACGTCTGCGGGAAATGACGACAACGGAGCAGGTACCTCCACGCCGTCGGAACTTCGTGTGCTATGGATGCGGAGAGCGTGGGCACATCCGGAGCAACTGCCCGAAGAAGGTGAACCGCCAGGACGCGGCGGTCTCAACTTCTGACCAGCAGGGAAACTAAATCCAGCCAGGGCTGCGGGGTGGGCGCTGGCCGGTAGTGGAATAACCCCAACAATCTACATCAAGCAAACTAACGATGGAAACACTCTGGTGATAGACGGTCAAGTAAATGGGAAAAACAGTCAGCTAACATTAGATACTGGAGCTTCAAGGACGGTGATAAATGTTCGGCTGCTCGGGCAAAACATCAGGAAACACGTTAAACCAATTGTTGGCCTACGAATGAAATCAGCTACCGGCCAGTGCATACCGATAAGTGGAAAACTGCATGTAACAATCAAAATTGGGGAACGTGTTTATCGACATGAGGTTATTGTGGCCAAAATCCTGGATGACTGCATCCTGGGACTTGACTTCCTGCAAGGGCACCAGTGTAACATCGACTTAAAATCTGGAGTATTACTATGTGGAACTGAGGAAATTCCGATGAAGGGTGGAACCCTGGGAAAAGTTTGCTGTTTAAGAAGAACTGTTCTTGAACCAAAATCACAGACTCTCGTACCAATCGCATTACCTAGAAGGAGGGAAGGAAGTTTACCTCGAAGGTGCGCTGTGATTGATAAATCGGAACACGTAAACTCATGGCTACCGGCAAGAACTGTCGTGGGGTCATCTGATGTCAACCGCATTCCGGTATTCAACTTCAGTGATTCAAAAATTACGATTGAAGAGGGAGAGCCTGTGGGCGTATTGGAAGAAGTGGCCTGGATAAGGAAATGCTCGGAAAATCTTGTGAAGAAGGACAGTACGGGAATAGACTTTGTAACGAAAATCTTAGACGAAAGCAAAAGTCTGACAAAAGTGGAGACTATGAAAGCTAGAAATTTACTTCTTCGATTCTCTGATGTGTTTTCAAGAAGCGATGGTGATATTGGCCGAACTGGTTTGGTGAAGCATAAAATAAACACAGGTGATACAATGCCAATTCGTCAAAGGCCCAGACGTATACCATTCGCTCGTGAGAAAGAGGTTGAACAAATGATTGACGATATGAGGAAAAATGACGTGATAGAGCCCTCTTCTAGCCCTTGGTGTTCACCTGTCGTGCTTGTCAAGAAGAAAGATGGTTCAACGAGGTTTTGTGTAGACTATCGACGATTGAATGATGTAACCAAGAAGGATAGCTACCCTTTACCAAGAATCGATGACACACTTGACACACTGAGTGGCATGAAATGGTTTTCAACGCTCGATCTGAAAAGCGGCTATTGGCAGGTGGATTTGGATCCCAAGGACAAGGAAAAGACCGCATTCTCAACTGGGAAGGGACTCTGGCAATTTAAGGTGATGCCATTCGGATTATGCAATGCACCGGCAACCTTTGAGCGTTTGATGGAACAGGTGCTGGCGGGACTACTGGGCGAAACCTGCCTAGTTTATCTCGATGACATCATCATTGTTGGACGGGATTTTGACGATCATATAAGGAAATTGGAAAAGGTACTCGACAAGCTGCGTGGAGCAAATTTAAAGTTGAGTCCAAAGAAATGCTCTTTCTTCAAGCGCGAAGTGAATTATCTAGGACATGTTATTTCTGAGAGAGGAATTGAGACTGATCCAGCCAAGACTGTCGCTGTTAAGGAATGGCCAACACCTAAAGACAAAACGCAAGTTCGGGCATTTCTTGGATTGTGCTCGTATTATCGGCGGTTTGTGAAAGGATTCTCGGACATTGCCAAGCCTTTGCATCGATTGACTGAGGAGAAACGTGCCTTTATCTGGGACGAGGATTGTGAGCAAGCCTTTCGAGAACTAAAAGAACGGCTTTGTAACACACCAATTCTCGGATACCCCAGCGCGAAAGGAATATTCGTAGTTGATACGGATGCCAGCAATATTGGAATAGGAGGCGTCCTTTCACAACGCGATGGTGAGCAGGAGAAGGTTATTGCTTACTTCAGCAAGTCACTATCCAAGCCGGAGAGGAATTATTGCGTGACCAGGAGGGAATTGCTGGCCGTAGTCAAAACTCTGCACCATTTCAAGAAGTATTTACTGGGACGGAAATTTTTGATCAGAACTGATCACGCTGCTTTGAAATGGCTGCTTCAGTTTAAGGATCCCGAAGGCCAAGTAGCCAGATGGTTGGAACAACTTCAGGAATTTGACTTTGAAATCGAACATCGCGGCGGAAGAATTCATGGCAACGCAGATGCATTATCGAGACGCCCATGCGTGGAAGATTGCAAGCATTGTGCCAAGAAGGAAACTGCTTTTCTTAAGGTGATAAGGACTGATACTGTTGACGAGGCATGGGGAGATGATGCGATGAAATTAGAACAGGAAAGAGATGCAGATATTAAACCAATACTGGAGTGGCTACGAAGTGGTAACAAGCCAAGTTGGAGTGACGTCGCCCAATATAGCGCGGTAACGAAAGGTTTATGGGCACAGTGGAAAAGCCTTACGCTGCATAACGGACTTCTGTGCAGGAAATGGGAATCAACAAACGGCAAGGACGAGCATTTGCAATTGGTGGTGCCTCGTTCAAAAATAAGGGATGTATTAAAAGCGTTCCATGATGGATCTTCTGGAGGACATTTGGGAATTAGGAGGACTTTGGTGAAGATCAAGGAGAGGTTTTATTGGTTGCATTGCAAATATGACGTCGAAGATTGGTGCCGGAAATGCACTAGTTGTGCAGCTGTCAAGGGTCCACAAACAAGAAGCAGAGGGGCGATGAAAATCTACAATGTTGGTATGCCTTGGGAGAGAATAGCCTTAGACATCGCTGGACCATTTCCAATCACTGATTCGGGCAATCGCTACGTTTTAGTGGTTATGGATTATTTTACAAAATGGCCGGAGGTCTTTGCCATACCGAACCAAGAGGCAGTAACTGTAGCCACGAAGTTGGTAAACGAGGTATTCACTCGATTCGGAGTGCCCTTGGAGATGCACAGTGATCAAGGACGGAACTTTGAATCCCAAGTTTTCCAGGAAACTTGTAAACTTTTGGGAATCCATAAGACTCGAACGACCCCTTATCATCCACAGTCAGATGGAATGGTCGAACGCTTCAACCAAACATTGGAGCGACACTTAGCAAAGGTGGTTGACAGCCATCAGAGAGATTGGGACACTTACATACCTCTCTTCTTGCTTGCCTATCGGACTGCTGTACATGAAAGTACCGCAAAGACGCCTGCATTTGCAAATTTTGGAAGGGAATTGAGATTACCGGCAGATCTTGTATCGGGCTGTCCACCTGGCGACTCTCGCACCGAGTTTAGCGATTACATAAGCGAGTTAAGGGCAAAAATGTTGGACATTTATGAGCAGATCAGGGAGGCCGGTCTTCAAGCTAGTGATCGCGCAAAGACGCGCTATGATCGACGAGCCAATTCTGTTGGGTTTGAAGAGGGGTCATTGGTCTGGCTTCATAATCCAGTCAGAAGGAAGGGAAAATCTCCGAAGCTGCAACCGAGTTGGGAAGGTCCTTATGAGATAGTCACGAAGATCAATGACATTACTTACAGAATTCGGAAGACTTCAAGGAGCCCTTTGAAAGTTGTCCATATAGACAGGTTGGCGAGGTATTACGGCAGCAACGATGCTCGGGACGAGCGAATCTAAGAGGGGGGCAGTGTGACGGAAAAGTGGTTCAAACTCTTTGACATCATGACGTCAATGGATGGTTGTCAAACGTTGCCTAGAGATTGTAAATTTCGTCGTGAATTGTCAACACGAGTTGGTGTAATCGGTAAGGCATGTGGATTACACCACAGAGACCCCGAGTTCGAGTCCCGCCGTAAACATGAAGTTTTTAGTTGATAGAAGTTTTGTCGAACTTTCTGGAATTATTTGTGTGAAAGAGATGAAAAATTAAAGAGCGAGAAGGAGAATAATAAAAATGAATAACGAAATTATTGGAAGGTTCTGGAGGCATGACGATCAAAAAGAATAACGAAATTGAATGTTCCAGAACCTGACCGGGGGTATATAAGCGGAACTGCGGCCCACCGCTGGCAGTTGAGTTCTAAGTCCAAAGCGATTCGGAAGAAAAGGAAGAAGTGAAAAAGAAGAAAAGTGAGTGAAATAGTGCAGTGCAGGGAAATAGTGAAGTGCAGTGAGTTAAGTGAAAGTCAGCGTGAACAGTGAGCGGCAAACGGAAGTTTGTGTCAGTCGCCCGGACTCTGCTGGAGAGGAACGCCGATAACTTTACTCCGAGGGCGCTGTCATCTAAGTGCAATAGAAAGTCTAAAACCGGTATTAGTGTTTTATTTCATCCAATCCCGTAACCCAAGCCCGCATAGTCAGGAACGTGACGTCAGGCTTGTAACATTATTATGTTATACATTAAATATTATTGTGCAGGTCTTTTAATAATGAAAAACCAATTTTGATGAAAATCTTTCAGGAACTACATTTTATTTTCATATTTTATTTTCTGGCCATCCTGCATTCCATCACCACTGTACACTCAAAAGAAAATAATAACAATTCTCAGAAATTAAATAAAAAGATATAAAAATAATCTCACATCAGTATGCATATTATCCTCCTTGCTTCCGCTGGACTTGGCGTAGAAAACATTAACGAACTTGGCGAGATGTTCGAAATGCTTCGTCATCTCCGTCGCGAGGATCATGTCGATGACGTTGTGCCGGACCTGCTTGTACGTGTCGCGCTCCAAGTTCTTGAAGATATTAACTCGGTCATCATCTGCAGAGGAAAATGAAGTTTCAAATTGGGTTTCATCTTTAAACGCAAAATGATTAAGAATAAATTGATTCTTAAGGTCAGAACTGTACATGGTCTACTCTAGATGAAATGAAAATTCGGAACGCAACATAATTGTAGTTTAATATACTAACTAAGAGTGAGCTTGAAGGTGAGGGCCGCGTGGTGGGACTCCAGCACGCTGACGTCATTGTACAGCACGGCGAGAGGGTGGCGCGCGTTACAGAGGAAGGCCGAGGATGTCCCGGGGTGGTCCACGTCGTGCGCCGCCGCCGCTATCAGAGCTGCTGCAGCCTCTAATGGTTCCAGCACTGTCTTCAGCCTGTCCTTCTCCAGGAAGAACGCTACAGCCTAAATTAAAAGTATAATTATATATTATATATAATTAATATATATTATATATAATTTACCTTGACATTATATTCATAAGAGTAGAGTTGGGCCTAATATACAACCTTGGGGAACTCCATTTACGGTAACCCACTGGCATTTTTTGGTCTGTCTTTTTAATAACAATTGTAAGATATTAATACTAATGGGACAATGGAAATTAATAGAATATCCTGTTTGGAAAATCTAAATATTTACCTGAAGCACATCAGCAGCATGAGTGGAATTATGGTAGGTATTGACAGCGTGGTAGTTGGTCTCCACGATAGTGAGCCAGTGCAGTAGAGTACGCTCGTCACACTCCAGGGCTGCGCACACGTCGAACCTTCCCCCCATGAGAGCCAGGCCAAGGTGCGCCAGTGGCCGGCCACGGGTCAATTCCTCTAGCTTGAAGATCTCGAAGTCCCAGCTTAAAGCCGTGTCTAATAGCTCACGGAGTTGGCCTGTCGTCTGAGGAAATAATGCACACGATTAAATAGTTGTAAAGCCATTGTTCTTGTCCTTTTTTTCCTGGTATTTTTATAATTGGTACGAAGTTGGTACATTGATTCGGTAATCAAGTACTATCATAAGTTTTTTATATAAAAACGCCTTGGTGACATCGATCGCGATACCTGAACCAGTCAAATATCATTAGGCGACTTCGGTTTTTGCGATTATGTAAATTTGATTTTATTTTTATTTTTTGTCTAAGTCTGGAGTAGTATTTGTTGTATTATCTAATTAAACACCTATTCCGTACATGGGCATTGTAACAAAATTCGTGAAAAGAGAATTATAGGTAGGTATATCTTCCTGAATAAAAATGGTGATGTTATCTTACCTTATGTTTGATATTGCTCCTGTTGGTCTGTGACCTGACGACCGTGGAGTCGTTGCTGCTTCGACGAGACGACAATGTGTTGGTCGGTCCTTGCTGTAATCCATTTAATGTTTATAATTTATTCATCCGTTTCTATTAGGCACACTTTAACAATTACGTCGCTTTGATAGATTTTCGATTTTAGAATGTCAAAATTTCTTTTATCAGTTGTTTTATTTGAAATTGTGGCCTGTTTTACAATGTACAAAATATATAGCCGCTTTTTACACGTTTGAATATAGAACATAGAATCTAATTTATAAGTATTATGTGCCACATATTGTTCATCCAGTATTTTTATGAAGGTTGTAAAAAAGGCGGTAAGCATGCGGTCTTCATAAAAAATATTAAGTTGGTAACAACTTTAAATTATTTTAAATAAGTGAATGCTTTAGTTCCATAAATTAATTGTTTAATTATTGTCAAAAAAATACGTCAACTTATTTATTAAAAACGTCAGGATTGAATATTATCCACAATATTAGTTAAATTTCTTAAATAATAATAAAAATGGTAGGTTAATTTTGTGTCGTTATTTCGTGTGTTTTCAGAGATGACAATGATGAAATAAGATAGGAGATAGATAGAGATAGTGCTATACACGATATTGTACAGTGCTACATTCCGAAACTGGACAGAATTGAGAAAGAAAATAGCTACCCAGGGTCCATTTTATGTATAAATGTCAATAAAGTATTATTAACAGCGTATGATAATAATAATATATGAAATAATACTGAATACTTTATCACTACATAGTATGAAATAAATTCGCTTACTCTGTCTCTATGTATGCTTAAATTAGAGTGTTTCAAGAGGAAGTTTGATAGCATGTGGGTCGGTATTATAATATAAACTAGCTACTCTCGCGCGGTTTCACCCGCCTAGCCTATAGCACTCAGGAACATTGTAGCTATCTATCAGTGAAAGAATTTTGGAAATCCGACCAGCGGTTCCAAAGATTACCCCCTACATACAAACTTACAAATTTTACCTCTTTATAATATTAGTATAGGTAAAAGCAATAGATGTAAATATTATATCCTATATACTTAATAAAGTTATAGAAAAATGAGCCCTGAGTAATAAAAGTGAAAGGGTGAACAATAGAGAACTATGTACTATCTAAGTACACTATTGAAAGGAACAGACAGAGACGGTTGTAATTCTGAATGTCCTACCATAAAGTACAAGTTTGTGTTCACTTGTTCCCTCTGCCCAGCGAACAGGATCGTAAACAAATAAATACCAATGTTAGTACATAAATATACAACGCAACATGCATATAATACTTCAATAAACAATCTACAAACACACAGGGATAGAAATAAAATATAAATTACAATATTGTTGTCGTAAAACAAGAGGCGGCATATTATCTACATAAACTTAATATCGTTATAATCTTCGGGAAGGTATACAACATCAAATTGTATTGTTTTAAGTAAAGTGCTAGGTAATATTATTTTTTGATATCACAATACGTAATTAACATAACAAAAACATTGATTTTTTCACTTTATGTCATGTATTAATAAGGATGATTTTACTAACCGACAGTAAAGCTCCAATGAGGTCCGTAGCGATAGGATCTTCGACACGCATCTTAGGGTCGTCTCTCATTTGTGGAGAGTAGAGCTCGGAGGTCCTTAGCATGTCAACAGCCCTCTCGATGTACGCCACAGTCGATGGAGGAGCCCCTTCAGTCGCCGTCGATAAGAGCGATATCACCTAGACAATGCAATTTTTAAAATATATTTCACTAGCAATAAAATTGTCTACATCATACACAGATTTCATGTGTTCTTTGTGGCAGTAAGTAATGTATGTTGGAAAGTAAAAGCGAGTTGATTCACAGCTTTTTATCAGACAATGTTGCATTCTATGTCGTATCACATAAAGGACTTTTTCATAATTATAATCTGATTCATTGTTTGCCAACACAACATTTTGCAACGCTCTAATTGCAACGCTCTAATCATATCAAGGGAGTAAATTTTATAGTAAAACTACATTTTGCCCGCGACTCCGTTCGCGTGGAATAGTGACGTCTTGCAAATTTTTGGTATAAAACTATCCTCCTTTCTGGAGTTCCAAACTATGTCTGTACCAAATATTACAGAAATCGGTTCAGTAGTTTAGGCGTGAAGAAAAGACAGACAGACAGAGTTACTTAAGCATTTGTAATATTATAATAGTTTGGATTATAAAGGGAAAAGAATAGTCTAGAAAGGATGAAATGTAGTAAAATGGACGATAAGATAAGCTTAGAATAACAGGTATTTTGTTGAAGTTTGTTAGTGTACACTATATTCTCATTACGGCTATCAGAGGTTATGAAAATTTATTGCTCAGAACTTTTATCAAGGTAAGTCGAAAGTTTGTAAGTAGTAACGATACGAATGAAACAAAAACTGTAACCTATGTTATATTAATATGTGAAATAAACCGACTCTTATACTTATATATTACCGACTCGTATAAAGTATTGTAGTGTGTGTTAGTTTAAAAAAATTATAATGTTTATTAAGTTTTTATTATAAGAAAAAAATGTATGTTAGGCTATTATTTTTTTTTCTAAAAAACGGGCGGAGGTAATAAAATGTTTTCTGATGAAATATGTAATAAAATTTATTAGGCCACGTGTGTCGCATAAAAATGTAATTTCTTCTACCAACATTGGCTAATGATGTTCTTTTATGATTTCTTAATTACGCAGCTAAATGCTCGTTAAGAATAGTTCACTTTGTTATAAGTAATGTTAAATACAAAAATATCGATGTCTCTTCACTCTGACGTCAGTTTATTGAGCTTGAAGAAAAAAGTCAAAGTCAAAATTAATTTATTTCGCACTTTTGGACGTCAAACAGAACTTAAAGACAGAAAATTTCAGTCTGTTGGTTCAGTAATCTTAGTGAAGCTATTTGCTCGTTCCTAAGTTGAGATTCCGATGGAAAAGAAGCAAGAAACTCTTTCGGGTACTCTTTAAGTCTAAGTAAGCATAATTATACCAGTATGAAATATGTTGAAATATCTAAATATCAGAGAAACTTGTTCATTATCACATACATTTTATGATACATTTTGCTGTCTCATACCTTCGTAATGGGTGCTTCAAGCGGCAAGCCTTGGAGCTTAGCAAGAGAAGTTCTCCGCAGGCCATCGGATGCGACGGAGCGCACATCTAGGGAGCCTCGCCTGATGGAGTGCAAGGATCCTCGGCCACGATCGTTCTCCAACGCGTGGATTGGCTCACAGACGAACACCACGTGGGAAGTGTTCCTGAAAAACAAGAAAAAAGAGAGAATAAAGAGGTTTATTGTAGAAAGGTGAATTATGGTGAATTCAGACAGATCACTCGAGTGATAGAGAATGTTAATTGTTGTGTAAGTCGTGAAGAAAGAGGTATATAAAAGATTTATTTTCATATTAATAAACGAAAGATTTATAAAGATAAGTTTTACACAACCTCGGTAAGTAATAGTGTATCCGGGAGATCGATATACAATGACTAGTCGAGTATCTCTGATTCTGATCGCGACAGCTGTGGTCGGCAATGTACGGCAATACGACCACAGGAATTTAGTGTCAACCACACATTTGTAACTCTTGTTTGTTGTCTTGAACTGCGAAAACCATCCTTAGTGCAACGTCTTAAATGTCATTCAAGCAAATCTAACAATTTCTCGGTTATTATTTATAGAAAATTGTAGAATTTTCGTCTATAACTGTTTTGTATATGTATACCGTGACTTTTTAGAAAACAACCACAGCGTTCATGTTTCGTCGTATGAGTGGGGTTACTGGAGACCAAATCCTTCTTCCCGTCCCCCAATTGCTAAATCTCCAAAATCCTAATTTTCTAAATATCGGCAACGCACTCTCAACACCTCTGCTGTTCCATGGACGGCGTTATTGGCTTACCATCAGATAATCCATATACTCGTTTACCGTCTTATTGCATAAAAAAACACGAGTATTGGAGTTTTAAACACTATATAATAGAAGGCGATTGCAATTTCATAAAAGAAGTCAATAAGATATTTTTAATGGAGCTAACCTTTCAAGTCATTTAAGTGATGGTATTAAAACTATCAATGCTATGTCAACATACATTAGTATTTTTAGAAAACTTACTTAGTGAGCCCAATAGCAGCGCCTCGGCAGGGTACCAGGACAGGATCTGGAGCAGTGCGGCGGCGGAGTGTCACGGGAGCCTCCCAGTCTCGAGCTCCACTAGTAGCAAGCCGCAGGGCCTCGCCCCCAGCGGTGTCAGACAGCTGCTTCGGACCTTCCTCGACGCGCCAGCCCAGGACTTTGGACCAGGACTTATTCGCCAGCTAAACAATAGACGAACACGTTTCTTTTTTAAACTTAAACTAGCTAGAACCATGACTGTGGTCATCGTTTATTCACTTGATTAGATTTTATCACCTTTTTAACTTGTCCACAAAATATACTTTTAAAACTTAATTTAGCTGAACCAGTTTAGCAGTTGTTGATGCTTAAGAAACAGTAAATAATTTTATATTATTATTTGGTAGATAGAGAAAGGTTATTCTCTTTTTAAATCAAATACGATCCTGCGTGCTATCGTGCGTTTGCGCAGTAGTACTGAGTGGACTTAGAGCGCGTTACAATTATATTTTTATAAATGTACATTGTATATGGTTGTTAGTGTATATAAACAATGTTTTTCCTCTGTCGTAAGCACGCAATTACAAATGTGTGTGGTGTACCTAATCACACTATACTCAGTGTTGATAACTAAATGTAGCTAACCTAAAGTTAATATAAAAGGTTTATTCATATTTTGGTTATTGACAACTTATAATTAAATGTGTATGTCCAGGTTTCCTGACGATGTTTTCCTTTAGTAGATCACTTAAAAAGTTTTATTGGTACTGAAGTATAATAAACATTTTATGTCTACTTACAAGTATCTTCTGCTGTTCATCAGTAACGGCTATGAGATCCCGGCAGCGGTCGGCGGCGGCTGCGAGCGCGGCTACGGCTGCGATCTGCGCCCGCGCAGCGGAGCCCGCGGCTCGCGACTGCAGGACTTCAGCGCACCACGCTGTAGCACTTAGCGTTTCCACCATTATCTAAAAAGGATTGGGAATTTAATATAACACTTTTGTTTGTTTGTTGTTTTAACGTATTTTTATGAGAAACATGGCAGAACATATGCTAGCACAAACGCATCTAGCTATAATTTGTAAGTATCTAAGTAAAAACGAGGTACACAGTTTTTTTATAATAGCGGTAAATAAGTACTTTTGTTTTGGATATTACTTACAGCTAGATACACGTAAGTACCTACTTTCGTTATCAGTTGAAATATTATAATTGTAATGACTTATGGTTATGGGTTATGGTTTTGTAATTTTTTTACTAAATAACTTACTTAACGGTCAAAAAAAATCTACGAGTATTAAAAATAGTAGCCAGTTACTTAGGTACTTCGATTATTCGAGATTACCTAATAACTACACAAGCGTTGTTAGCGCAAGTTTTTATAGCTATATATAGCTTTACGACTACATAACTACAGAAATGCAAAAAATTACTAACATTTTGAATATGTTGAAGAAAGTTCATGATTTCAGGCGCTGTAACATTTACAACTGTTTTAGAGTTAATAAAAAAAATTAAAAATTCAACTTGCTACATAACATGTAAATTCATAGAGTTTTCATAGAATTTTGTGAGGTAAAAATCTTATTACTATTATTAATTCTGTAAAAGAAAACAGGTGTTGATGTCTCTTTTTTTGTTTTTTTAGTGTTTATTATTAATTTTCAAAGTTTCCATCGTTTTCCGTACTACTAGTAGTTTCAGAGTTCCCATATCTTAGTTTCTCAATCCAAACAAAGCCGTCAATAACAGGAATATGAATGTCAGAAATCAGGGTTATCACAAGAACGAATGTACACAAACATAGGACCAACCAAAACAAGAGCCTGAGCTTCATAACAGGAAATAGTTTCGAATTTAATGAGGGCGTTGTCATGTGATACGATTTCCGATAGGGGTGCTACCTATACAGGGCCGAATTTTACGCGTAGCTTGATTCGGGCCCCGTGGAAATGGGCCCCCGCACCAAACTTGCATTTGACAACCATTTTAATGAAACTAATAGATTGTCAATGAAGGTAAAGATATACCTAACCGAAAATACTTTGACTTGCTTGAGTAGGTGCAAAGGATGTTAAACTGTTATGGTAATTATAGTGAGATATACTAAATTTATTAAAAACTAACTACTGCCTCGCGGATTTACCCGCTGTTTTATTAGCCTATAGCACTCAGGAATATTGTAGCTAACCATCAGTGAAAGTAAGCGGTTACTTTCAATAAACATTGATTTTCACATTTTTCATACAACCATGGAAACACAGGAACACTGAAGTTCGGCGCGTCCCAGGGACATGAATGACTGTCTTGGATCCCGCAACGAAATAAATCAGAAGATATTATTTGAGAAGAAAAACCGAAATAGTAACTGTCAAGTATATATAACACCGTGTGTAAGTTCATAGCTTTAGGCTAAGGAAGAAATTCTAGAGACCGTTCTTAGTTTAATGTCTAGGGCCCCTTCATAGAGTTTTCTACGGGCCCTACCTTTGTAATACGTCACTGTACCTACACACAAGTTGATAGCACTCAGAGATCATTACTCAAACTAAGGGATGCTAACTTTTGCAAAGTATTGTTTTGATTTTGATTTCATTGTAAGGTTCAATTAAAAAGTTACATTGTTGTTCTTACGTTCGAGCTTATGAATACTTATAGAGAATTGCAATAGGTATCACTTTTATGTAAAAGCTCAAAATATGTTGTTGATGTATTTGCGTTTTAAGTAAATTGTCTGGAGTAGATGTTTAAAACTTAGTTTGATACCTATTTGGTTATCACAAAATTTTAAATGTAGATACCTAATATTTTTATAAACCAAATACAATCGAAACCAAAAACTATAAAACTTATTGTAAATATTAAAATGTTTATTATTTTATTTTATTCAGTTACTTTTGCAGCAGCCAAGTCAATAGCCAAATATTAAGCTTAGTTCATCAAAAAAGTTGCCTCTATGAATTAACTAACATATTTATTGAAGACCACAATACTTCTAAATAATGTTTCAATACGTATATTTGAATTGGAAATAAGGCAACCGGCTAAACAAAGAGGTAGAATAAACCGAGCTCCATTCAAAGTCACTGAAGGGAAATGAAAGATGACAACTGGCGACCCCATTACTATTGTACAATGGCTTCTTATTACACGTGTTACTGGGTCAGTTTCCAGCCGACTATCAAGTAGAGTGGCAACATTTGCATGAACACACTGCTATTAGTAGTTTGGCTTAAAGGACTTGTATCAAGGCCATAAACTCCAAAAAAAAACTGCTATTAGTTAAAAAGCTCGATGCAAAGTTATGCCGTTGACTACATTGGCACTGAGTAAATAAAAAAAAACTAAACTTGTCGTTGAATGATGAGTGAAGGTTTTTTAAATTCTTTGCGTTCCTTTTTTGAACACTTGGGTAATTCGCACACTGTCCCTATATCCGTATGTACATATGCCTAAATCTTTAAAACTCCGCAACGGATTATGATGCGGTTATATTTAAGTATTTCTTTTTTTAAAGCACAGACATTTCAGCATTTGATTGTCTGCTTACCGAAGGATTTTTATTATAAATATTTGTTTTCCTATATTTGTTTGTTCAACTTGTTATGAGATTAGGTATACAAGGTCACGTCGAGACTTATTGTAGCTGAATAGTTATGTAGATACATTACATATATATTACCTAATTAGCTGTACTTAGAAATTCACGCTTTGTTTTCGTAGAAGCTTGACGTTGACTTACACGTGTGGAATATTATAATGTTATTTCAGACAGTACCAAGTTTCTTTATCTTTTTATGAAAAGGAGACTAAGTAGGAAAAGTTTCTCATAGGTCCCATATTTAGGCAGTGTGTAATGTATTGGTTCGAGGTTTGTTACTGATCAGTGAAATTTAAGAATCAGTTCATATTGTGGTTGACGTTCAATACAATGATTCTGTATCTACAATCTATATTCATGCAACTAAATGCATACATAACTATAGTTTATAAATTCAATTTATTAGCAATAGGTAAGTAGTTGAAAATAATTAACTGAGAAAATCTCTACTAGTTTCAAGTCACAACAATATGTAATTTATTCAACTTTGTCCTTTGTTAATCTGACTAGTTTTAATTATAATCTATCATATTTTTGTGTAAACTCGTAATTTTAAGAATGTTCGTTATCTCGACACTGGCTAATGTATAAGACTTAATTTGTTAATTTGATTAGTTTTAGTTATAATTCTACAATATTTATTTTTTCTGCTTTTTTGTGTAAACGCTTAATTTTAAGAATGTTGGTTAGCTCGTAATTGGCTAATGTATAAGATCTACTACCTAATATCTAATACATTTAAGAACTTTGTATACATAAGCTGTGAGCCTACCTTTTTTCAATAAATAAAAAATAAATAAATAAAATAAACAACTGGACTCTTATTCATGAGCAGTGTGCTCGTAGTGGTGACGTGGTAAGTGTCGCAAAATCAATGAAAGAAAGCTCGAGCAATTTGTGAAAAGTCGAAAAATAATTTGTATTAAACTCTAAACAAACACCACGGTGTCAGAAATTACTACATTGATGTATCAATTTAATAAGCTATATATTTGAAAATATAACGTAATTTGTATGCATTATATGGTACATAAGTTTATCAGGAACTTAGGAATGTGGCCAAACAGACGCTTAGTGTGGAAGATTATTTGAACGATCCGAGCACTTAGAATGCAGGATTGGAACCCACGACACCATCGTGTGAACGTGTGAACCGCACAGTTTTTTATCATCATCGTTTAAAAATGAATACCTATTGTAAATTAATGAGTGCTCTCATTACTTTAACATTCAGTTGAATTAATTTTGTTTCATAATCAACTACCTACAATAATCTTGTGTTGTACTTACTCGGTTGTAACCTGCATCCAAGTACGGCAGCACCGCGAAGTCATCTTTCAGGTAAACGCTGCAACAAAAAGACAAAATTATTAGTTTAAAAAAATTTAATTCTTCTTATCCATTCCTAAGAAAATGTGAATAAGTGGATATAAGTTTAAGTAATCATTAATTATTTTTAAAAAGTAAATATCGTGAGACATACTAAGTTTATAAAAAGTATCGACTTAATTAGTCGGCTGCATAACGTAGCCGCGACGCGCACGCAGCTCATGAATAAGAGTCCTGTTGTAACTTGAAATTAGTCGAGCCTCCCAGTTCATTCGCATATAAAAGTCATTATTTTGAATAAAGTAATAAATATCTCTAACTAAACATAGAGATATTTAGAAGTTTATAGTATGTATAGTTAGTATCTACATATTATTTTATTTTGTTCATGTAACATCATGACCAGACCGTATGCGTCGCCAAAGCGGAGAGTTAACAATGCGTTGCGTTGCTGGCATTTTTATCGTTTTATAGCGAGTTTCAAATCATTCAAACATCTTTTTTCTCCATATAAAATTTCATTTGATGCACAAAAACTTAAAATCAACAAAGTTCCCATTCCATATTCTCCTACCTATTAATATTCCTCGGTCCTAGTCATTAAAATATTAAGTGACATTTTCGTAGTTGGCTATCAGAACTGAGTTTGTATAACAAGGTTTTGCCTGGCTGAATTTCGCTGAATGCTTTCGACAGTCGCCTTAAAGTTTCATATAACTGAAGCCCGCATTCGTAATGAATAAGTTCCGTCATTTCAACGAACCTGCAGCAACTTGAGTAGCTACCTGATTCATTTACGAGAGTGTTTCTTTTCCAAATTTATTACAAACTGCCTCGTTTTAAACCTCTAGAGAGGTTTTAATGTTTCCTAGGAATAATATGTTCTTTGTTTCTACTGTTAAGCATACTTATAAGCACTTGCTTTACAGTACATTTTTAAAATTTGCTCAAGAAAAATATGTTTTTTCATATTTTTTCTTTCTCGTAAAATACTCAATATACCTAAAACTAACATTTAAAAGTAAAACATTACTGCTTTCAAGCAGTTTTGAGTCGATACAGGCACTTTAAAAACGCCGTGATTTCATAATGAGAACGACGTACCTATACCTTTTAACGTTTCGCGCGGAATCAAAATGGCGTCTAAAACAAAGAGTGAGAAAGGAGTGAACTAAACGAACCAGTCTTCAAGAGTATCTAATGAATGTTACGGAAACTTTTTGTATTCAGTAAAAGCTTTACAAAATATATGGAACTCACTTTATTGGGTTTTCCCTACATTTATTTACAGCTTTTAAGTAAGAGTGAAAACTTAAGAAAGAGGTTTCTATTAATTTTTTTTTAATTATTGTCGGCATTTCCAAGGCTAATGAAAAAAAAGGTTAAATGCATGTGACAAATATTACTCGACACAATCAGTACGTGTATTATCTGTCCTAGATTTCCAAAATAACAAAAGTACAAATATATAATCCCCCGTAACTCTAAATTAAACAAAATAACTGACATAAAGGGCGCAATATAGTCATAAATTAATTAGCACAAATCCTTTGAATAATCGTTCATTCTGCATATTAAATCCATTTATCAATCCATCAGAGAGAATGGAACGTTTGTCTATGGACGGAGAGCAAATTCCAAACAATATTATCTGTGTACATTGTCTCTTACACTACACAGTTCCCTCCAAAATCGGGTCTGTTGGTAGAACGGAGAATGGCACAGTAAAGTAGACTAGGTTGGGGCAAACCTAGAATGAAAAGATAACTGACAGGCAAAGATAGGCACTGAAGTATTTATACTATTACTATTTCATTCTAATTGTGATCGTTACAACTGGTACCGTAAATGTCTGTTATAAATGGTCCAACCCATAGACGCCTGATTTAAAAAGAGAATCAAAAGAGTTTTTATTAGTTTTTTGGCTTTTTTTTGTTGTTTTCAGTATTACTAGTCTACATATTTTTGAGCTACCTATAAATAGCGAGAAAAATTAGATAACGTTGTCCAAATTTGAATAAACTGCGATAAGAAATGTTAAGCTTTACAACACAAAATTCGTATAGTCTTATACATTAAAATATTGTATTTCACGTTCATCCCAACAAATGCAACTTGCACTACTGTTGTTCCTAGACTACAATCCTTGGGGCTTACAAACGATTTGCAGACATCATCCCTTAGGTTTAATCTGTATATTGTATACAACTGTACAGGACACAGTAATGGGCACAAATCTACCAGCTTTTATCATTGTCACAGCATTTTATATCAAAACAAATTGTAAGGATTAGCGATCTAGCTCAACTCTCGCGAATAATAAATTAAACTTACGTATGTTGCCTTAATTATATGCTTGCAGTAATTAATCTTGATAAAAGACAAAGCTGTTCCATACAAGTTTGGAATGTTCTGGAAATGTTCACTTGGCTCTGTGGAATGCTTTTGTTTTAAACTTGGGGTACGTGAACGGTTTTTCCAACTTTATTCATTTGTCTGTCAGAGTAGTTTTGAATTGGTTGCCATGGTTACGACGTTGTAGTGTGCGTGTTAATTTTGCAGTAAAGTACTCGTCAACTAGTTAAATTCAGTCAAAGTTGAGTTCTGTTCTTTTTTTGAATTGTAAAAAAAAACATACTTTTTTGTTCTATGATTTTTATACCAGGTTGTATGAATGGACACCGTGTTTTTTATGGGGTCAAAAAACATTCTCGTTCCTTAAGAAGTAGCTAGAGCACAACGAGAATTCAGTTATGTCGCAAAATCAGAGACTGTGATTATTTTTTAATATTACATTACGTTAAAAAGTTCAAATTCATTAAAATTGGGGCTCTGAACCTCACTGAAACGGCGACACATGCGTATACAATAATAAATCTATTTAATCTATTGTCCATTTCTAAGTTAAAGAGGATGTCTGCTTACTAAAATTTTAAGTAAAAGATTTAGGAAAATGAAGTATCCTAATACATTGAAGTTAGTAACAGAATATTATTTAGTCATGTCAAGGCAGTGAGTCGGTAATTATTGACTAGCGATTGGGAATTCGTTTATCGTAAATTCCGGATCGGATAAGTTCCCGTGGGTACCTCGTTATGTTGCCATGGCAACCGGAATACAGTGTTGCGGCATTTCGTGTCAAGGGGAAAACGTAGAGTTAGAGGAATTTAGATTTACTTAGTAATACAGTGGGTATTTGATAATTTTGAATATGGAACGTTGTTTGTACTCGTATGCACTTTTTTCTTTTTTCCAAATAAATGTTGCCCCACACTTGTATTTTCTCCAGTCGTGGGTGTATTTACACACACATACAATTTCACATACACACCACACCTAGACCCGGAACAATAAATTATGGATTATACAAAGAGTTGTTGTTAAACTATCAGCCTCTTACGTTTATAAGGGAAAGAATTTTGAGCATTTATAATGATGGTGGTGAAATACGTCTTTTTTTAAAGGTCCCTCCTTTAAAAAAAGACGTGTTTCACCACCATCATTATAAATGCTCAAAATTCTTTCCCTTGGGGGTGGGCATGACTATAAAACACCTCGATTATTTTGCTTCTCCTAGCTGGCCTATGGTATGTTATTTCGTTTGCAACCCCACCATAGCATTCACTTAGGTTCCTATTTGTTAGGGTTTTCTCTAGTGGTTTTGTGCGTTTTTTGTTATTCATTTTTAAATCTTTTTCCGTGTTAGAATAGCCTTCTTTAAGTAATATTTAGAGGCTGATAATGATGATGATGATGAAATCTTCTTGCCATATTACCCTAAGCGAGAAGAAAGAGACAATTTGATGATATTCCGTCCTTAAAAAAAAGACTGGTGATGATAAATAAATCCTTGAATACAGATGTTCTATGGATGAACAAATATTATCTGTGTAATGGTTTAATAGGTATTATCTTTTATTCAGGTTTTCATTTTTTTTTTAAGTAGATATAATAGAAACGTAGCGCTTACTCAATATCTTCCTTGCTTTAGTAAATTTATTAACTTTTTGCTTTTACACCCTTAATAAAAAGAGACATCAGCCGGGTTTTCCTTGACTTTTGAAGAGTGAACTGAAATCAGGTGAATGAGAATGAAATACAGCATCGAATTAAATTGAAAGCTTTCAATAAAAGATTTAAGAGATTTTTATTTATGGTTCTATAGACAAAGAGAAACGATTGCTTTATTGTGTCGATTGGTAAATATTAAAGGCGGGAAATCAATTAAAATGAAGATATTATGTGAGTAAAAGAGAGAAAGAGAGAGTGTTATAAGTATAAGAAAGCCAAGTTTTGGTGCGAATGGTTGGGCTCGACAGGAGTGATACCACGGCCTCACATAATGCCAACATGAAACAATACTTAGTTGTGTTTCGCCGTGTGCGTGAAGTTACCGGAGGCCCTATTTTTCCCCCACATACTCAATCCCCAAATCCCCTAACCAGAAATCTCCAACAAGCCACAAAAGTTCGGCAGCGTACTTGTAGTCAGTCCTATGGAATTATGATTGTCCATGAGCGGCACCGATTGCTTACTGTAATCCACGTCGAATATGTATAAAAAAATGGCAATTGCGTGTTCAGTTTCGTTAGCAAAGCTAGCTAAGTTCAGGTTACTAATACTACATTAGGTTAGTATCCAGTAAAGAAACAGCTTTAAACGCCTATCACGGTTATGTTTCATCGGTGTTGCGATACGGTTTAGTGATATGGGGCAACTCAGTAGATGTGCAAAGAGCTTTTATAGTGCAAAAAAAATGTATCAGGGCTATAAGTGGCGCTGAATATTTAGATCATTGCAGACCATTATTCAAGGAACTAAAAATACTTCCTCTGCCATGCTTATACATTTTTGAAATTTGTCTTTTTGTAAAAAAGTACTCACATTTATTTCCTTTAAATGAACAGATCTCTGTGAGGTTAAATAACAAAAATCCTGGAAAACTACAGGCACCTAGACAGAGATTGCATTTATACAGCAATAATGTACATTGTATGGCAATTAAAATTTATAATAAAT